CGGCTGCTGCTGTCCTGCTGCTCCCAGGGCAGCCTGCCTGGGGACCAAACTTGGGGGTCAAGACCTTCCTGTCTGGAACAAAAACCGAAATGTGTCTGCACATGTGCCAAGGAGGTACTTGCATGTCTACCTAGAGGAGGACACTGTCTTCACCAAGGTGGAACAGCAGAAGGGTGCTCCATGGGGAAACCGAACACTCACGGAGGCCAAACGTGCAGGGCTGGGTGTGTAAACTAACATGCAGTGCTGTCTGCCAAAACTGGCCCCCTCCAGCCAATGGCCAGTGAGAACTTGCTGCGGAAACCAGCACCTTTCTTGCTACAGTCAAATTTTGCCTGGTTTTGGGCCAGCCCTAGCTCTGTCTGGAGTTGTGCCCCTGCTCTTGCTGGAGGATGAGGAAGGGGGAACGCCTGATTTCAGTGATGGAGATGAGACGAGCTCGCCTTCCTGCTCCCTGTGGAAGCTGAGACTGCAGCTCTGCCATGGGGAGTGAAGCGGTGCTGGGGGGAGGGGGGTGTGACCCACTGGAGAAGCTGGGGAGGTGATGGAGCAAACCCCTCCATGGAGAAGCATGCTCTGGCCCACTGCTCCGCAGGGAATGGATGTCATTCCCAGCCACCCTACGGTGGCAGAGGAGCCCTTTGCCCTGATGCTGCCACGGGCAGAAGCTGCTGTGCTGCCCTGCCCCTGCACTGGGGCACCAGGCTGGCTGCTGCGAGCCTGGCAGGGTGACAGCCATGCTGCAATTGGAGGCTGATGCCAGGGAGCGGGTGGCATCTGCTGAGGCAGAGTAGATGGCAAGCACTGTAGGCCCAACAAAGGTGGTGCTAAAACTTGGGAGGAGTGGACAGGTGGCTGTACATTCCTCCTCCATTGCTGCAGAGGTGTCTCAGGTGATTCTGGGAGAGTAGAAACAGCACGAGTATGTGTGTCGTGGTGCAGGGCAAGCTCCAAAGGGCAGAGCAGCTAGACACCAGCAAAAGTTCCTGTGGGCTGCCCTTCTCAAATGTAAGGGAACTTTTTCCTTGCAGACGCCTGCCAGCTCTTTCAACAGCTCCCGAGCGGCTGAGGCAGCAGCAGGAACAGAGTGCTGCACAGTTTCTCAGCCTGGAGCTCCTGCACTGAAAACAGGTCTCAGCTTCCCCTGACAGTCACCTCCTGTAAACACTGAGCTCCCCATGCCCTTGGGACTTGTTTCCACACCAGAGCCTCCAACACAGACCACTGCAGCTGTGCAGATTGCTGAGCTGCTGTGGAAGTCTGGCTGTGGCTGGGGCAGCTGCTGGAGAGAAGGGAGGCACTTTGGGAGTGATGGAAATGTGGGAGCAAGGTATGAGCAGGCACAGATGTGCACCTGGGGCTTGGTTTTTGGTCTGGGAGTGTGTCTAAGTAGTACCTTAAAGGAAAAAAAAAAAAAGTGCCAAAAACACCAAAGAAAAAAAACCTACAACATAAAAAACCTCACTGCTTTTTATGCAAGCAGCCCCAAATCGCTTTGGCCTGGACCTGGAGAAGCAGAGGAGCTCTGCAGAGGGAGCAGGGCCTGGAGTTACCCTGTGCAGAGGGAGGTTCCTGCTGCCAGCAAGGCAGGAGCAGAAGGATGGGCAGGCAGGGGCTGGACACCGGGGCCAGCCCTGACAGCAGCTGCTGGGCCAGCTGCTCTCCCTGCACTGGCTGGGGACTGCCAGGGTGTGGGGAGCAGTTCTGGGTGGAGGGCAAGGAGGCCAGTGCTCCAGCACAGGGGGCTCAGCTCAGGCCAGGGGACAACGCATGGCCACTTGGGGCCAGGCTGGTTCAGAGCCAGCAGCGCTGCTGGGAGAGGGTGACTCTTGGCAGGCTGCACTTCAAGTGGAAGCTCAGATC